GAAGAAGGTGTTTTTGACATTTTAATAATAAATTGTTGAAAAAAGTAAATAGAAAAAGAAGAATTTAGATACAATTGTTTTGATGTTTTGATGCATTATAAATTGATTATATTATAATAGAGTGAGTAATAATACTAAATTTGATGATTCGATATAAATATATAGATTGAGTAATGATCGTGATACAGTATTTAATTGGCTAATTTGCGGATTTTTTACGGATTTGCGGATAATTGCGGTTTGCGGATTTGCGGATATTTGGACTTCTGAAATCCGCAAATCCGCAATATTGCGGATCCGCAATTAATCCGCAATTGCCCAATTACGGCACCATCCTTAGTTGTAGGTTTAAGTATAATTGTAGATGCAACTCCCGAAAGATAGAATAATGTGGTATCAGCATATTTTTTGTTGATGTCGACATATTATATATTGGTCGTTGAAGCAAGCATCTTTGGCAGCAATTTTGATTTTATCTGAGTGCCAGCATTATTTATGCTAATGGGATTATGATTGTATTTTTTTTTACCATAACAGATAATTCTTTGATGAAGAAACCGTGGAGCAGTAGGCAAAATTTTCGTAGGGGTGGTATTTGTTGATGTAAAAGGTGACCATTTGTTATAAAACAAATATGATTTTTGAAAGGATTTTATCTGTTCTTCATATGGCTTTTGGATGTTGGATTGCAGCTTTCGTACTTCAAAAAAAAGAGCTATTTGATCGAACGATCAAAGCCATACTCACGATTGCAGGATTTATTTAAAGTTTACACAAGTAAACTAAAATTGTTAATTGAATATATTTTAGGTTCACAAGCTTCTTCTTTCTGAAATTTTCGCATCCTTCTGCATCTTATATTCATTTTTTCATTTCTATTATTATATTAGGTTTATCTTGGTGAACTGGTCAGTTTCTCAGGCGGACTTTTATTTTTAGCATAGTACTAGATTTACTGCAGATGTTTTTGTGGATTTTATTATTATTAATATTAGAATTAAATATTAATACCGAAAAAATCTGGTTTAACATGTTATTATTGTAATAACTGAGGAATGGTTTCTGCAATTCTGCATAAAGAATTCCTTTGATGTAATTATTTTACTTGTTTAACTGTGTTAGCTTAGTAATCGATGGATTCTTAACCAATCAATGAAATAAAAAATAAATAATGAAATTTTATTTAATTTCTTAAACGGCGGTAAAATAAAATTTATTTTTTATATAATTATTGTTTTTTGTATCATGTGAATCCTTACACATGTCACCAATACAATCATGTACAAAATGAACCTTATTTACTAAATCTATTACGGAAATGGGAAAAATATGTCGCCAATGTTTCCAGCCTAACCGATATATTGGACAATCGAGTTTTGTTTGTGATGTCTCTTCAAACCAGTTTACAATTACGAATGCATATAGTTTTTCATTATTGCCCTGATGACTAAAGATTGCTTCTACAATGGCATAACTTTCACTGTAAATTTCTTTCTGTATCGCCCTATAAAAAGTATTTATATTTAAAATATAATTAAAAACCTGTCTCTTATACACATCTAGATGTGTATAAGAGACAGGTATCGCCCTATAAAAAGTATTTATATTTAAAATATAATTAAAAACTTTTTAAAATATATTTAAAATATACTTAAAATATATTTAATTTAAAAATTGCGAAATACTTATAATATACTTAAAATGTATTTAAAATTATCTTAAAATATATTTCTAATATATTTAATTTTTGCCCAAATACTTAAAATATACTTAAATTATATTTAAATTAAAATTTAAGTATATTATAGGTATATTTTTTACATACTTAAAGTATACTTATAATATATTTCATAATATATTTTAAGTATATTTTAAGTATGTAAAAAATATACTTATAATAATCTTATAATATACTTAAATTTTAATTTAAATATAATTTAAATATATTTTAAGTATATGGGCAAAAATTAAATATATTAAACATATATTTTAAGATAATTTTAAGTATATTTTAGATATATTAAAAATATATTATAAGTATTTTGCAATTTTTAAATTAAGTATATTTTAAATATATTTTAAGTATATTTTAAGTATAATACTTTTTATAGGGTCGTCACAACATCTCCAACATGCAACTGTTGTTTTACAAAATATCCCTGATCATTTTCACAAATGTAAGTTGCAATCTCATAAAAAAATACCATCTTGTGTATTAATGCTGCTGGAAATTCCATATCAATATATGCTTGCATTAATTCTGATTGAAATAATGAACTATTAATATCGATTGAAATATTAGCAAACCATTGTGATTGACGTGGTATTCATTTTTTAATGATAATTTTGTAATGTAATCAACATTTGTACATACTAAATAAACAAAAAAATATTAGAAAAATTAGCAAGTCAAATCACAAAAATTGCAATAATAATTGATTTAAATACCTTCTGTTTCACCATTATCATCTTTTAGGCATTCTTCTACAATGAACCAGTCACTTATAATTTGAGCAAAATTTTCTGATAGGTTTGTAAATGCATTGCTTGACCGGAAAAGTCTTGGATCAATACCACCATCAATTAGGTGACGTATTGCAAAGAGAGTTGTGTACCTTTTTAGTAAATCTAATTCAATGTTTTTTCTATTCGTGTGTGGTACAATACCTTTAAAAATTTTATGTACAATTTCTTTTACACCAACAGTAGAGTTCAATAATGTTGCATATGTTTTGGCATTTTTTAGTAAATGAAAACTTGCATGAAGATTTGGCAAATTTACAAAAACTTCAAAAACCTATTAAAAAATAATTCATTAGTGTATAATAATAAATAAAACAATAATAAAGCATTGTATTTATAATATGAATTACCTGTGAAAGAATTTCCATTTCTTTTTTCAACCATTTTTGCAATAAAATATAATCATCAGTATTATATGACTTTTTAAATACAAGCACCATTGTTTCTGCTACTACTTTCCAACATGTTACAATCATTTTTGTAGCAAAATCAGCTCGGGTAATATTACATCTATTTTGTATTGTTGTTAAACTGTTATTTTTAACATAATTAGAACATAAAAATCTATTGATTATAAATGGCATTACAGTGCTAAGACGAAGACAGTCTGACATCATAAAGCTTTCATGATGCCAAACTGGATTGGAAAGTTTTTGCCATTGTTGTGGATATTCTAAAGATGTGATATGTAATTATTTTTAGAAGGTTGTAAGGTTGCAACTATTACAACATACATACAACACTTTTGTTGTAATTGCAATACAATATTATAATTATTATATAGTATTATAATACTATTAAAATTGTAATTATTATATAGTGTTGTAATTATTTTTAATTATACAAATATGTATTATAATATATTAATTATTTTTTTTTATGATGATATTTATTCTATAAAAACTTATTTTTGTAATTTTTATTTTTCAAAAAGAAAATTTTTGAATAATCATAAGTATTGTAATATTACAACACTTTAACTTTAAAAGTAGTAATAGATTGCAACCTTTACTATTACAACATAAGGTAGTAATTATCAATTACATACTACATCTTTAGGATATTCAAAACTCTTCCAAGCTGTTACAAATGCCTTTTTACCATCATTAGAAAGCAAATTAACAGTTATATGTAATAACCGTTGAATTTTTCCAGCTGTTAAATGATAAACATCTTGAGGGGTCTGCAAATGTTTTTCACGTTTTAAAAGGTCTAAAATTGACTTTTTATTTCTTAAACCATACTCTGTTGCAAACTTTCGCTGATCTGTTGCTGTTATTATAGTTTCCATTCTATTATATAATTCATCTGTAATATGATGGTATCGTGCAATTAATGGAATATTCAAATCAGCTGAAGTTAATTTTTCTTTTGTTGCTTGACAAGAACGACAACCCTTTATAGCTCCATGCCTTTTAATATAAGCAAGATCATTTCCTTGTGGTAAATCTGCTGTTACTTGCCCAAGACTTGCAATTATTAAACAACGTACTCCATTTATCTCAAAGACTTTTCCCTTTTCTAATTGACATATTTCTTTAATAAATAGTTTGATAAAATCATCAAAATCCCCCAAAAGGAACAAATCCAAGTACAAAATGGTTTTTTAATTGTTTTCGATCATTAAATGTCATATTTCCAAATTGTAAATACACATCACCAAGTGAATGATATACATTGCGATAAGTTCCAAAATCATCATAATAAAGATCTAAAAAAAACTTATAGACTGGTAAAGAATTATTATGATTTGGAATTGCTGTATACTCAGATGGGTGTTTGTAATCTAATAATGCTGATCTAAATTTCCAATGATTATTATGTTTATATAAAATCTCAATTATATATTTATTTGCACTATTATTATTTTGACCTACAGTAATTTTTTGAATAATTGCCTGTGGTTCTAATAGAATAATTGCATTATATTCATCACGATCAAGTAACCAAAGTGCACCATCATGAGATTGTTGTTGTCTTATTGTAATATGAAAACTTTCTGGTAGTTCATCAAATGTAAGAACACGTTGAATCTTTAATTTCTCAATATTATTTTCAAGTATTATCACTAAAATACGTCTAAATTTTTTTCCAGTAATTTCATTGTAGTATACATAATCACCAATTTGATATAATACTATATATATAAAAAAGATTTAGTAATTATTATGTATATATACATAATTTACAAAATTTAAATAACTGAATATCAAAGTATATACCTTGTTTAATTACAATAGTTTCTTGACCAAATTGAGGTGATTCTCCCTAAAGATCACCATGCCAAAATTCAGACTTTTCTTTTACTTCTAATGCAGGACCAAAGTACATTTTATTAAATAAAGAATGATTATTAAGGACATACCAGATAATATCAGAAACAGATAAGTAGTAAATTGGTTTAATAGTACAAGTCGTTGATGGTGTTTTTTTAGTAGAGATTTTAACATAACGTGATCGAATAGAAATAAGTGGCAATCGTTGTCTCCATTTTCGAAATCTCCGAATGTTTGTTACAATATCATTTATACAAAACTGAGGATGTTGCAATATATCAACAAGTTCATCATAAGCACTTGTTGAAATATTATGCTTATGAACCCAACAAAAAAGTAATGCTGCTGTAATACTTTCAAAATATGGCCAAAAGTTTCCATTATTATTTGGTAATTCATTTTGGTTTAATGCTTCATCTACAATGCATTCATTATCATAACTTTCATCATTATCTTCATAATTTTCATCATCATCATCATCGTAATTTTCATTATCGCCTTCATTATTATTACTTTCATAATTTTCATCATCGCCTTCATCATTGTTGCTTTCATAATTTTCATCGTCATCATCATTGTTACTCTCATAGTTTTCATTATCATCATCTTCATAATTTTCATCATCGCTACGTTCATAATTTTCATCATTATTCCCATAATTATTTTCATCTTTATTATCACTATTATCATATTGAAAGTTTATATCACTAGCTTCATTATGTTTACTACTATTATGTAATAAAGACGATGGTATTTTATGAGAGAAATGATTTCGAACTCGATGTTTTAAAGGAATAGAATGAATATATCTTTTTCTCATTATATTTTAAATAAAATATGAAATTTTGGTTATATAGTTAAAATTTGAATACATTTTTACAAATTGATAGGACGAAGAAAAACCTAATTGTCACATATACATAATATAAATAAATATTATACAGTACTGTATAAAGGTGCTAATTAGGTAGAAGGGGATGTAAATGAAGGCGTGGAAAAGGGCGTGAATTATGTCATAACTCGTTTATAATTAGATAAATGGATATATAAGTAACGCCAAATTACTTAAAAATATTTTATTATAATATGACGTAACTGAATAATATATTAAATTTGTGAGATGTCGCATTCCCCAACTAATCACTTGTGGATTGGGCAATTGAAAAGACATTTATTGTTAGTGTGTAATGGGTGAGTCATGTATTTTTTTACTTATTTAATTTATAAAGTAACAAATTACTATATTAAGATACGCACAAAGCCACAAATTAATCTAAGATCATTATGCATAAAATCAACAAAAAATTATTTTATTGACGACAATGTGAAGAACTGAAGATGAATAGGAAATAATCAATAAATTAATTAGCACTTATATAAAAATTATTCTCATTTAAACCAATTAAGGAACTATTTTAAAATAATTTTACAATGTATATATTCTTTACGTTTGTGTACATGTGAAATTTATATAAAATTGATTTTTACAGGATACTGAGAATTAATATTCGCTAGTTTGAGAAAATATAAATTAAAGGGATGACTTGTGATTGTATTACAAATTCAAAAATCTCGTGTAAATTTCAATTTTAAAATTTGCGGATTAAATAATATATCAGAGAGGACATGAACATTTTCCACAAATAATTTACATCACATTTATATCCTATTTTTAGTTTCGCAAGTTGAGTAAAATTGTTTAAAATAATCCAACATCACGTTCTGTACAAATCCACATTATAGTAATTTTCCATGATGGATACTTTTTTATAGGGATATAAAAGTATATTACGATCAAATGGAAGTCAATTCTTAATTTTAATAATTTTTCTTCCAAATGGGTGGTAATAAACGATCTCAGAATAATACTACAAAAACAGGTAATAATCTGTTCTTTGATTAACAGTTATTAAAATACCACTTATAATTATTATATTTTGTAAGCCATCTTAATAAAAAGAAGAAAAACAACGAACGGCCTATGCATATTATGAACGAAAATAATAATGACAATATTTTGGGTAAATATTTAACATATATAATAATATATAATAATTTTGATTTTTAATAAATTTTGATCAAGTAGGCAGTGACGAAGAGAGAGGAAGATACAGAGAAGAAGAAAGAAATAATGAAGAAAGAAGAAATAACGAAGAAAGAGGAGATAATGAAGGAAGAAGAGATAACGAAGGAAGAAGAAATAACGAAAGAAAAAGAGATAACGAAGGAAGAAGAAATAACGAAGGAATCAAAGATAATGAAGGAAGAAAAGATAATGAAGGAAGAAAAGATAATGAAGGAAGAAAAGATAATGAAGGAAGAAAAGATAATGAAGGAAGAGGAACAGAAAATAATCATGAAAGTGATGACGAAACAGTGTTAAGTCGAATCAAATCGCATTCAAACATGCTAGCTATATGTAATTGGTTGGTAAATGATCGACCAGATATTCTTCGCTTAGCTTCTCAAATGCTTGAAGCAAAATCCGGTCCTTCTGGTAATCTTTTTGGTAGTGGTTCTGTCAATTTTTTTCAGCTCTGTTTCACAAGTTAAGCATGTTATATTTATTAGGTCATACCTGTTTTTATACTGTATTTATTTTTAATTTAATTTGTAAAATTATATAACTTTAGGATAATAAGCTACGGCTTTTAGATGAACAAATGAAATGTGTCTTTCTTAAAGTAAGAAACCCATCCATTGAAACCTGTGATGATTTCATTAGAAAGATAACAGGTGACGATGATTTATATCATAGTGATGAATCACAAGGATATTTTAAACACATGCGCAAAGCATTCACTAATTACAGAAATAAGTTCAATGATAGTATTCAAGAACTTATTACACTTTTTAAAGATTCAAGAGAAAGGTATATTTATATAATACTATATAATTTTTATTTTTTTCGTGAAATATAAAAAAAAATTGAATATTAATTAGAAAAATTATGAATTTTATAGACCAAATCGTACACCATCTATAGGTGAAGTAAAAGAATTTATAACCGAGGAGGTAGTGATAAAAAAAGTATTTAGCCGCCAACTTAATGCCGTTAATCAAAAGGAATTAAAACAAGTTGGTAGTCTTGAAGTTCTTGTAGAATTTGTGCAAGAAAGCTTTAGATTATCATGGCATGACAAAGACTTAAAAGCTATTAAAGAACTTGATCATATGACTAAAGATATTATTATTCCATCACGAAGTGGTCAAGACATTTGCAATCGATTAATGGTAAGAATTTTCTCACTAAATGTATATTAAATTAAAAATAGTTATTTATATTATTATTTATTTTATAGTTATAAGACGTTAAACTTTGTGATACGTGTATATGTTAATAAAGGATTTTTTTGATACGCTTAACAGATACATGATGGCATATATTGGATAGTAACAAATAATATATCACTAGTCAAATAAAGAAATTTCAGATATTTTGAAAGCAAAGAATAATCTATAAGATCACCTGATCCCGTTATTTAAAATACTTGTTGAAATTAAGCATCACATGATTTTTTCTTAAATACTGCTTTACTTTAAACTATTTAATGAAATCTAAATTCGACTAGTGGAAAATACTCGGCAATTTTAATTATCGTTGTAACATAAGTGATGTACATTATAATAATATTATTTAAAATTTATTTAAATTTAAGTATTTTACTAGGAATAAATTCATATTGTGAAGTAAGGATTAACCATAGACATTCATACTTGTCTAACTTACTAGCACTTTTATAATCATACCACTATACAAGTGCTAAATCAAACTCTGTTAATTGATGAAATTTTATGCATGATACATATGGTCAAATACACAATATTTGTATATGTCTGAATTACTTAATAGTTCTTTGATAGCATCAAAAATTGAACGATGGTGAAGTGTGTACTCGATTTGATTGTGGGTAAAGAATATGGGGAATTTGTATTGAATTAAGTAAAGCATGTGTTGATTAGCGTTTAATAGTATTGAATAAGTGAATTAGTTGCAGAGTCAGAAAGCTTATTTAAATAGAAAAAATAATGATTAATAAAGAAAAAGCTAAATTCATAATAATGATTAAATTAATTCATTGGTTTAATTTAATAGTAGAAGAAACATAATTTTTATTATGAAATTTCTCAAGTTAATAAAAAAATTAATTTTTTACAATAAACTTTTTGATCTTCCAACTTTTAAATTAAAACACCTATCAGTCTTATCACTATCTCAAACAAGACAAATTAGCTATTACAACCAGTTACTATATGGAAAAAAGAAAAGAAATGGTTAATAGCATTCCTAAAAGAAAAAACATAAGGAAAAGACAAAATAAACCTTCACCTGCTAGTATTCCAATTTCCAAATGGTGTTCTAAGAGGTTCCTGTAAAAAAAAGGAAAAATGGTTAATAACATTCCTATAAAGAAAAATAAAGATATATATATATAGCGTCTATCTACCTGTCTTAAAAAATTCAAAATAACCATTCCAAATAGAAGTTCCTGTAAGAAAAAAAGGAACAGTTAATAATGTTCCTAAAAAGAAGAAACTGGTATGTGTTAGCTTTTTTAACGTGAAAATTTTGATAATTTTTTTATTGGATAATCTGCAGGGGGGTAGCACAATTTTGAAAAGGGTCTAAGTTTATCTTTTAGATTATCAATTATTGCGCTAAGATTTTCTAAAAAATACTATAAAATAATGGATTATTTCCTAATTTAAAAACTTACCATGAATTTTTTGTGCACAAAAAAAAAAAAATAAAAAATAAAAAATAAAAATAAAAATAATTATGCTTCTCACTCCGCCTTATTCTATTGATGATATATTTTAAATGATTGATAAAAAAAGAAAAGATAGAGAAGAACCCAATGAAATAGCTTTAAAAGCGCTTAAAATAGCTTCTCAAGAGATAAGTGAGGGTATTAGAAAAGTTTATAAAGATACCCTTGATAAAATTTATAATAATAACTCATGGTAAGTAAAACAATTAATATAAAATATAAACAAAAGAAAATCTTTAAAATTATAATCTTAAAATAATTTTTTTAACCTGTAATAAATAGTCCAAATAGCCCATTATTTGGAAGACCAGCGTTTGGTTCCGCGTTTGTACCTTCATTTGGTTTTGGGATTGGTAAATTTTATTATTAGTTCAAAATATAGCGTTCTTTAAATCATTATTGTAAATACATGTGCACTATAAATCTTAATTAGTTGCACATGTTGATTTATTATTTATTTTTTATTTTATCATATTCATCTGATTTCAACGTGATAAGCTTTGCATTTCTCTAATTTTATATAAATATGTTCAATGATTTATAAAATTTCTATTTTATAATTAGCAGCAACAACAACAGCAACAACAATAGCAGCAGCAACCACCACAGCAGCAGCAACAACAACAACACAGCAGCAACAGCAGCAACAGCAGCAACAGCAAAACCAGCAGTTTGGTAATAGAATTTATCAATTTAAAATAAAATAGATTATACTATTTATTTATTTAATAAAAATTTAAAAACAGATCCATCCGATGCAAACTGTTTATATTGCAAGGAGAAACATTGGCTTTTTAATTGCCATCATATACCAGAAAACTATAGGAATTTTTGCATGAACTGCTGGAAAACTAAAACTCACACAGCAATGAATTGTAAAAATAGTAAAAATAAAGAGCCTTGGCTTTCATAATTTCTCTTATAATTTTGTAAGTAAATTTTCAAAATAATACTTGAAATTTAAAAACTTAATTTAAAAAAATCAATTTTTTTAGTTTATCTCGTATCTTTTGGATGGAATTAGCAATTTTTTTTTTTTAATATAATTTTTTTACAGTTTTGTAAGTAAAATTTTAAAATTATTAGTTATTAATTATTTGAAATTTAAAAACTAATTTACTTATTTTTTTTCAGTTTTTTAGTAATTGAAATTGGAAAAAAAAAATTTTTTTTTTTTATAATTTTTTCATGTCCAACTGGACGTGACTGGTTAAACTTTTTTCCATTTTTTTCTTTTTTTTTTACAATTTTTTATAATTTTTTCTGGGGTTAAATGTATTTGATCGATATTAAACTTTTTTTCATATTTTTTTATAATTCTTTTATAATTTTTTCTTATCCAATTGGGGTTAGATATGTTTGATTGTGGTCAAACTTTTTTTTATAATTTTTTTTCTTGTCCAATTGGAGTTGGACGTGTTTGATTGTGGTCAAACTTTTTTTTTATTTTTTTTTCTTGTCCAATTGGGATTGGACGTGTTTGATTGTGGTCAAACTTTTTTTTAAAAAAATTTTTTTCTTGTCCAATTGGGGTTGGACGTGTTTGATTGTGGTCAAACTTTTTTTTAAAAAATTTTTTTCTTGTCCAATTGGGGTTGGACGTGTTTGATTGTGATCAAACTTTTTTTTTTATAATTTTTTCGTGTTTAATGTATCTGATTAGGATCAACTTTTTTTTTATTATTTTTTATGTAAATAATTTCTAATATAATTGAAGACAAAACGTAGTTGGTAGACTTTATCACGTGAGTTAACAAATTTTGATAAGCTAATTCACATAATTATTTACTTATAAATAATTTTTTTTAGATATGTCTATTGTTTTTTAATAATACACTTTTTTTTTTAATTATTAAAAAAAAAACTGGTATTTTTATTTTGTTTTACATTTATTTATTTATCTTTTAGCAAAATGTTTACTGATGTTTTGCCTATTTCTTTTTTAGATTTTGGGTAGTTAAATTCAGTTTGGAAGGTAATATTTAACTGCAATACAAGCTTATGAATAGTATTTTAATGTAATTATATAACTATTGGTTATTTTTGCATATTTATTGTGAATTTTTTTTAAACAAAGCATTTACTAATGTTTTGTTTTTTCTTTTTTTTAAATTTGGTAGTTGAACTCTGGGTTGGATATTCTTTATCTTTCGTATATATAATTATAATTACTAAAGAACAATTGTTTTTAAAGTTAACCTTTAATCAACTATTATACGAAAACATACCCTGATTATTTTCCAATCTGCTTCAGTTGGCATTAACATTTGTACTTCCTGATTGCGTACAGCTAACATTCGCACTCCATTCCACATTTTTCCATTTTTTTTAACATATTAAATGTGGAGTTCCATCTTGTCCTGATGTCTAATTCAGGTTTTAAATTATTAATTTTTGCACATTCTTAATTCATCACTAATTATTACTAAATTTTTAATCTTAATCATTAGCTGACGCACTTTTACAGCTGCATTATCTATCAATTCAAGTCCTTGCTGAGCTGCCAAATTGAGAATATGTGCGGCATAACGGTAATGTCCAAATGTTGAATTCACTACATCATTATTTAATTTTTCAGCAATTGAACGACAAACTGCTGACATCGTCCTAAAGAAAAAAAAATGGAAAGGAACGTTAGTAACATTCCCAAATAAAAAATAAATAATAAATAAGAACTTACCTTTTTCGCATTTTTTTTAAATAAAAAATAAAAAAATGGCTTTAAAAACCATCTTTAATAAAAAAACTTTTTTGCATTTCTTAATGATTTCGCTCGGCAGTTTCATGTACGCCATTCTGCCGAAACCCTCTAATTTCGGCAAGCAACCTTACATAATACTTTATTAAAATATTTTGTAAGTTGTTACTAATGTAACATTTACTAAATGAAGTATTCCAATATATATTATTTACAAAATACTAATGGTGCAAAAAACTCACAATACTTACGGAATACTATGGCGCATAAAAATCCAGAATGTAGTATTTGTAAAACATAATAATAAAGCACTCCATAATGTAAAATTTATGAAATAATATGGTGTAAAACACTCTGGAATATCAAATATGTCTGTACACAGCTTTAATTCAGTTTCAGTTTGTAAGTCCATCATATCTCTTTAGATGAAATTACAATATTTCAACTACCAAATACTTTTGTTGTAATTAGAGAATAAATGAGTTATTAAAATTTTTTTTATTGTAAAAAAATTTTATTTATTAAAAATAAAAATAAAAACAAATATAATACTTTAAACTTTATTTTTTTCAATTGCTTTTGCCGTTCTTTCAGATAAAGTAATTGCAGCAGTATACCTGGTTCCACCATCATTTAAATCAAGTTTAGATGTACCATGTACAGCTTGTGTTAACCAGCACCAGATGGAATTTGACGACATTTCGATTGCAATACCATACTCTGGGTAAAAAAAAAATCCATCTTTAACTGTCCCTTCCTCTCCACAGCATATTTTGATCGGTCATTGTCTTTATGTCCAATTGCTTCATAATTTTCAGTACAAAATACTGCACCTATAATTTCATCATCACCTAATCCTAATTGATTTTTAAAATCTTCATAAGAAATGACAGCCCAGTGCAAATGTTGCTTTCCAAATTCAAATAACCATCTAGCCAAAGTAATTCCATTCTCGCAAAGTATTTTTTGTTGCTCAGGATTAGAAGTTTTATAAACATATTTGTCATAACCAGTTTTTAAACGATTGGCACGGAATCTATCACCAACCATTTTTCCTAAAGATGCATGTGAATTTGCACGTTTGATGATAGGATGACCTTCAATTATCGATTTAATTTTTATTCCAAAATGTTCTGATAATTTTTTTATGGCTGCATCACATATGACCGCACCTATGGCTTCACCATTACATTTTAAAATAACTGACTTATTTTTATCAATTATTTTAATTTCTAAATCTTCTAGCAAATTAATACTATTATTATCACTTTCAGAACAAGAAACCCATTTTCCCAAATATTTTTTTGCTAAGTCAGGACGGTGATTAACTTCTTCGTCTAACATTGACATTTCCATATTACCTTTGTGTGTTAAATCTTTTGGGATAATCTTAACTTTTTTTTTCCAAATATTTAATAAATATTCATTATTTGTATTGCTTAAATATCGAGAAAATGTTGATATAGGATCCTTTAAAATAAAAAAAAAAAAAATTTTTTTTTAACATTAATAAATATTATTAAAAAAAAATACCATCAATTTCCAAAAATAAGCAACTCATACATACATGCATTACAGTCATTTTGGGCGAAATTATAAATTTTTGGCCAGAATTACAAGTAAATAAAGTGTGCTTATTTTTGGAAAATAACATTAACAAATAAACAAAGTATTTCTCCCATTCTTCTTTTATAAATAAGAAAGAATTAATTCTTTTCTCGCGTAAAATTTGGTTAGGAGGTATATTTAATAATATTAAATACCCTTTTTATCCTCCTTCCACAGGTCTTTAAAAAGAATTAAAACTAACATATTATAAATTTCTTTTAGGAGCATACTTAGTAAATATATTTACGTCATTTATAATTCTAAATAAAAATGGATAAATATTAAAAATACATTTATCTTATTATATTACCTTATCCTTAATTCCTTTTTCCTTTAGCCATTCTTCAAATCTTTCTGCTTCTCCAAATAAAACTTTACAGTGTAATATACTTAATTTACAAAGTATATTTACAACCTCATCCATGCTAGTAATAGAAGACATTTTAAAGAAATAAAACTTTGTTAAGACTAATTTTCACTATTTATAATTTTTTATAATAATTTTAAAAAAATTTTTAAAATTTTGGAACAAAAATAAAGCAAGTTTGAAATAATAGACATATTTATTTATATAAATGTTGCCCTACGTTGTGGTTTGTGTAACTCGTCCTATCGTATTTAATCGTTGTGTAACTTGAAGTGGTCAAATTTTTTTGGGGTTAAAAAAATTTTCTTTCACCACGTAATGCGTAATGTTCATTTTCAGTTGTTCGTTTGCTGGTTAGTTAGATATTTTATTTATCAAGTAATGAGGAGAGGAAAAGAAGTAAAGGTATTGTTAAGTACTTTGCATGAAATAATATTGGCAGGATAAGTAAAATTTTAAAGTATTGTATTACACATTACTGGCTATTCTTTTGAGACGGTTATCCAGGTTAGTCATAAAGGCAAACATTGCTATTTGAACATGGTCCCAACTCAGGCACCTGTGTAGGTTGACCGTTATAGGGTTCCGCACATGAATCAGATTTAAGCAGGATTCGATTTGATCTGATTCACTTTAAAAAAATCTAATCCGATTCAAATTGAATCAGATTGAGTCAAATCTTATCTGAATTTAATCCGAATCTGATTCGAATATGTCCAAACTGATTCCTACAAAAAAAAATAAAGAAAAGAACGTTAATAAACGTTCTTGACGTTAAACTTAAAATAAATTACCCAACGCTACTTACAAGTTACCATTTCAGGAGTCTAAAGCCGATTCTTATAAAAAAAATAAAGAATAGAACGTTAATAAATGTTCTTGTTAAATTTAAAATAAATCATCCTACACTACTTACAAGTTCCATTCCAGAAGTCCAAGCCGGTTTCTATAAAAAAAAATAAGAAAGGGACGTTAATAAACATTCTTAGTGTTAAATTTAAAATAAATAACACCACCCTAATACTACTCATGAGTTCAAGTCGATTTCTAAAAAAAAAAAAATTGAAAAAAAAATGTTATAAATGTTCTTAGAAAAAACTTCTCGCCGTTATAAGTTCAAGCCAACACTCCTCCAAGAAGTTGCCTTAAAGAAATGAAGAAGAATGTTAATAAACGTTCTTAAATTTTTATAAAAAAAGTAAAAAAAACATACCAGTGTATTCAAAATGGCTTAAGACTCCATTTCTAATTCTTCTAAGAGTTGTAAAAGGAATGTTGATAAAAGTTTTTAAATTTAAAAATGCTGGTTTCTTTCAAAGAAGATAGGTTTTTTTCGTTTCATACTAACGACTTCGTTTTTCTTTAGTTACGGCTTTAAAGATATTTTGCGGAACCCTACTGCAACCTGCAGATTATAGACTACGAATGTTTGAAAAACTGAGCAGTTTAAACTATACTTCTCAGCGGAATTAATTTACGCCATTATACCTGACGTAATATGCCGTAATAATTACGGTTGCAAGTTTTGAAAATGCCGTAATTAAAATAAAATTTTTTTTTTCAGTCTTTAATATTAAATTTTGCCCGAAAAAAATTGATTAGATAAATAATCAGATTTGATTATCTGATCTTTTTTTTAATTTTTTTTCTTCAGTTTCTTCAAGAACGGACCGAAAGGTACTTTCAGAACGACGATTTGGACTTCTAAGAATGCAAGAGCCAAGTGCGGAAGGTTAGTATATTTCGTTTTTTTTCATTTTTTTTCTTTTTTCATTTTTTTTGCTTACTTTATTTATTTTTTTAGGAATTGTCTCTTTGGAACGGCGAGTTCAGTGGACTTCTAAGAATACAAGAGATACGGGAAGGTTAGTATATTTTTTCGTTTTTTTTTTTTAATTTTTGGTTTTTTCTTTCTTTTACTTACTTTATTCTTATTTCTTTAGGAATGGTTTCTTCTTTCTCTTCTTTTAGAACGACAATTTCAGTGGATCTCTAAAAATGCAAGATGGACGGGAAGGTTAGTATATTTTTCATTTATTTTCATTTTTTTATTTATTTTTTTCTTTACTCACCTTATTTTTATTTCTTTAGGAACGGTCTCTTCTTTTAAAGCGGCAGTTTCAGTAGATTTCTAAGAATGCAGAAAGTTGCGCAAGGTTGGTATTTTCATTTTTTTTTTTTTCATTTTTTTTTTCCTTACTCACCTTATTCTTATTCTTTAGGAACGGCCTTTTCTTTTGGAATGGTGATGATCGGGAATAGAGGTAAATAAGGAGCGGATGTGTTTATTAATTAAAAACGTTTTAACAGTTAACGTTTCTTTTCAGATCACTAAAGTTCGGTCTTTAATTATTAAAAAAAATATTTTTTTTTGGAAATACTTTAGGAACTGTCACCCGGACTTGAATTTGTGAAAGGGTAAGTTAAGCATAGTGTCCTTTTGTTATAGGAACGTCACTAACGTTCCTTTTTTTTCTTTAGGAACTGGCATTCGGACTTGGAATTCTTTTGCGAAAGAGTAAGTTAAAAAGTGTAAGGGGAGGAGGTTTGCTGTGGGAACGTCAGTACAATTAATTACGTCAGTATACGTCACGTCAATACGTGATTCGATACTAGTAGCTTACTGTATTTAAGGCTAGTGGGCCTAGCAAAAAGTTATGTCTTATAATTGGTATACTCCATCTATTATTTGGTCAAGCGTAAATTTTTTGATTGATGATAACTTATTTCGAGATACAACTTTTATGAAAAATAATTTTGATGAGATGTAGTATTCTAGAGTTCTAATTAATAATTTTTTCAAAGACTTTCTTATGTTTCGATCTATAAAAATTTTGTCGTTGAATTTGATCGTGCATAATTGATCAGGTATTCTAATGGAGAAACTTGTAATGGATTAGGATCATCATGGCTTTTTTTGCAAGGTCGTCGGCTATGTATTGCCAGAATGAGCTTTGATTTTGTAAAGTGATACGTCAAGGTGGAGAGTTTTAATAATATTATTTAATTCCTTAAAGAGTGGTTTATCGGGATATTTTATTAAACTATGGATCATCGGTATTACGTGATCAGTTTGCCGATCGATCTTTTTTTCAATTCGATAAAAAAAAAGTCTAATAAAAAAAAATCTTTACTTACGAACCCAACTTTGTAAGATATATTTTTTTTTTTAAAAAAAGGTGTTCCTGTATAAAAAAAAAGAAGGAAAGAACGTTTTGTTAAAAACATTTTTAATACAATTAAATGAAATAAAAAACCTACCTTTCAAAAGTCCAGTTTATTGTTTTATTAGACAACTTCTTAGAATTAGACGAACTGTACTTTACGACATGCGTGCGTTTTTTTTAAAGTTTTTTTTAATTTTTCTAAATATTAAATTTTCAATTTTTCGAATAATAATCAGATCAGAAAATTCTATAATAGGGTCACCCTTTTACGCTCGGTGACCTCAGTATTTTATTCATGTTCTCTTAATTTTTTGTAGATATCGGACCTTCAGCTTCAGACTTCGGACATTAACTTCTCGGACTTTGGCGACGTTAGGATCTTCTTTTGTCGGTCAGCATCTTTGAATGAATTGCTGACTGGTAAGTTTTGAAAATTTCAAAACTTTTTACATTTGTTTTTTTTATTAATTTGATTTTTTTTTGATTTTTTTCTTTTTTTGCAGGTATTGAACTTTCCGAATTCAGGACGATAGTATGATTGGTAAGTTTCGAAAGCAAAGTTTCAAAGTTTTGAAACTTTTTAAATTTTATTTATTTTTCTTTTCTTTTTTGCAGGTACCGGTAAACCAAGCTTCCCAGATTCCGAACAGATATGGTATGACACGTACATGGGATGTATTTAATTGTGGAAAACGTGTTGAAATATTTTGTTATAATTCAGATGATGGAAAACAATTAGCAACTTCTACATTAGATAGTCAAATTATTTTTTGGGATGTTGAAAATGGTATTCAAACTGGTACTATTGAAGGTCGTAAAGATATTTCTGGATCAGTAAGTTTCGAAAGTTTAGTTTACTTTCGAAGCTTTTTGATTTATTAATTTTTTCTTTTTTTTGCAGGTACCAGTAGATTGAGCTTCCGGATCTTAGACGATATGATTGGTAAGTTTTGAAAGTTTAATTTACTTTCGAAACTTTTCTTTAAATTTTTTTTTATTTTGTTTGAAGAAACTAACCATTTTTTCTTTTGTCTATTTTGTAGGAATCGTCTTTAAGATTTGGGTTAGCTTTTCAAGTAAGTTTCGAAGTTCATTTCGAAACTTTTTCTCTAATAATTTATTTTTTTGAAGAAACTTATTGTTTCTTCTTTATCAATTTTGTAGGCTTTTGTCTTCGATTATCAGTTCGGCTATTGGCTCCTTGGGTAAGTTTTGAGGAGTTTTGTTTCGATTTTATTTTTTTGTTTATTTTTTTAATTCTTTTTTCTAATTTTATTTTCTTTTTGGCCGAACGTTATACAATTGCATTTATTGAATTTATACGCGATTTTTTTTTTCGTGTTTTAAGCATTATTTTTTAAAAAAATCTATATATTAAAAAACACTGCAATCACGTGGGCGTTATGTTTAGATTAACCATATAAATAAGTCATTTGGATTGTGTAACCATACTCCTATTCGTCGCCAATGTTACACAAGACCAAAAAAAGGCAATTTTATTTCTGGCGAAAAACTGAAATTTTGGGTTACACAGGGTTCCATAAAAGGAAATTGTCAGTTACGCAAATTTCCAAAAAAGGATATTTTATCTTCTGTTACTTTTCAGAGAAATTAAAAAAATTGTGTTGCTCAAATTTCCAAAAAAGGAAATTCTTTGCAGATCTTTTAATTATGGCCTATTAACTGTTGTCGTAGACAACAGGTGAACTAAGGTTGCCTGCCGAAACTAAAAAGGAAATTCCGAAAGGTTTCGGCCAATCAAATCAAATGCCGAAAATGCCGAAATTAGGCCGAAACTCGGTCTTAATTTTGGCCAAAATTAAAATTCGGCCGAAATTATGACAGTGTGTCACGTGACGTTACACAAATTTCCAAAAAGGAAATTTTGTTTCCCAGTAAAATCGGAGAAATGTGTCGCACAATGGTTACACAAATTTCCATAAAAGGAAATTTACGTGTCGATCATTGTTCCGGCCAGAATTATAGTATTAATGTTGGCCAATAATTTCGGCCAAATTTCGGCCTTTCGGTAAAAGTTTCGGCATTGTATAATTTCGGCAAATTTACTTTTAATTGCCTAAACTTTCGGTTTTAAAAAAGTTTCGGCCTTGGCCTAAACTACTTGATTTCGGCAAGCAACATTAAGGTGAACACTAGTTACATTTAAAATATGAGTGACTACTGACTGAGTTTTATGATGGTGATCAGGAAAGTGAATATAATGAAGGAAATGAAACAACAAGATAATGAAAGAAATGTTCAAACCCCACTTCAAGAATTTTCTCAAGAACCTTTTCAAGAATCTCCTCAAGAAGAATCCCCTCAGGAACCTTTTCAAGAATTTCCTGAGCCTTTCCAAGAACCTCCTTAAGGCCTTACCAAGAACCCCCCTCAAAAGAGCTTTCCCAAGAAGAAGATAATCTTAAAAAAGCAAAAACATATTCAATATTTTAATACTTGGGACCCACAATATCCTACAAAAGTAGTTTGTAAAAAATGTAATCATACATATTCAAAATCAACTGGAATTAATACTTTGAAAGAACATTTAAAAAAAGTGCATGGTATAGTTATTGATAAAATAAAAAAAAACAGAGACTAAATTGAATTTTCCAAAAGTGGATCCTTGGCCCAAAGAAGAGATGTTAGTTCGTGATCAAGCTTTAGTAGAACGGATTACAGTTGATTTGCAACCATTTTCTGTTGCTACCAATGATCAATTTTTAATTTAATAAATACTTTAGATCCAAAATATCATATTCCTGGAAAATCAAGTATAAAAGAGAAGAAAAGAAGGTTATAGATCATTTTGACAATATGAGAAAAAATATCAAGTTAGATATTGATAAAATTCCAGGAAGGGTATAACTCACATCAGATATGTGGACATCTACACTCAACAATAATTCCTTTCTTGGCCTTACTATTCATTTTATCGATCAAGAATGAAAATGCAACATTTTTTTTTGGATATTATTTCATTTAATGAACCTCACAATACCATCAACATTACCAATGAAATTATATCTGCTCTAGCTGAATTTAAAATAAAAGAGAAGGTATGTATATGTAAGGAGGGGAAAGTTTTTTTTTTAATATTAAAGAAACGTACTAATATTTCTTTTTTCTTGATTTTTTTAGGTTGGCAAAATGAAAAGGAATAAAAAAGGAAAGATGAAAGATGAGGATAAAGAAATAATGAAAAAAGGAAGGTGATGATAAAGAGCGAAAGAAAGGAAAAGAGATGGCGAAGAACAAAAAAAAGAAGATAGATGATGATGAACGAACAGATGAAAGTTGAAAGTTGATGATAGGAAACGGATGAAATAAGAAATGGATATATATATAATGATAGAGTCAGACGAAAGATGATGATAGGGAATGGACGAAAAATGGCGGTAGCCGGTAGGGAACGGACGAAAGATAATGATATTTATTTAGTTTTAAAATTATTTATAATATACACCAAATAATTTCACAAGTAAAAATCTGCCTTAAAGAGAGGTTTTTGAGAAGTGTATAAAATGTGAATTGAATAATAAGTTATTGTTACTAAGTTATTGAATGATAGAATGGATGTTAAAAACTGAAGTTAGTGATGAAGAACTTACAAGTATATAAGAAACTGCTATAATATTAATTGTAATATTAAAATATCAATTAGATGTTGTGACGATTTTATTTAGATGTCATTGTAATATTTAATAAAATTATTCATTATTTATTAAGAATTTATCGGTATCGTCAAAACATCATTTTGATGTTGAATCGATATCTATCCTAAAAATTTCAGTATGATATCGATTCGATATTATATATGATATTTTGACGATATCATAGTAATATTAAATCAATATCATAAATTTTTTTTAATTATTTTGATTAAGTAAATTATCGATGTTTTTATTGATATCGAATCGATATTACAATAAATATTAAATCAATATCATATAAACATCAAAATGATTCCATTATGATATTTGGCAAAAAAATTATCAAATTGGTATCGTTACAATACTATAACTATATCGCAATGACATCGATTTGGCATTTCTCAGATTTTCAAGGTTTCTGTAAAGTTCTCCAATATATTCTTTCAATATTTCATCTATTAACCTTTGAAATGTTCCTGGTGCATTCTTCAAACCAAATGGCATAACATTATATTCAAATAATCCTTGCGAACATATAAATGCTGTCTTTTCTCTATCTTCTTCTGCCATCTCTACCTGATGATATCCTGCTGCTAAGTCTAAGCTCGTAAACCATTTTGCCATTCTATATTTTTCTAATAATTCATCTATTCTCGGTAATGGGTATGCATCTGACTTAGTTACACTATTTAATTTTCTATAGTCAATGCAAAATCTATAATTTCTAGTTTTCTTCCCTGCTAGTGTTACTGGAGACGCCCATGAGCTCCATGATTTTCTAATTTTTCCCATTTTTAATAACTGTTCAATTTCTTTCTTTATAAACTTTCCTTTTTCTTCAGTCTCCTCATATCTTTTCTGTACTATCAGTTCCTAACCTTCCCTAATTTCAATTTTATGTTTAATAGTATTTACTTTTCCCAATTTTTCTTCATCATATTCAAATATTTCTTCGTAACTTTTAATTATCTTTATTATATCATCTTTTCTTTTACCTGTTACTTCTCCCAAATTTACCTTTTTATTAAACTTTTCTTATTTAATTTCATTTTTACCATTTTCATTTAACATTTTAAAATTTCTTTATTTATTATTTTATTTCTTCTTATTATTATTTTTAACAATTTTACATTTTTGAACAATTTTAACCCTTTTTATATAATTTAATCCTCATTTTCACTAAATATTTTACTATCATCAGATGAGCTTTCTTCGCTCGAACTTTCATTATCCTCCTGAAACTCATTTTCCCTTACTACTTCCTTATTTTCTTTCATTACTTTTTTTATTGTATATAGTTTCTTTCCTTCTTCTTATTCATAATCAGATTCTTCTGATTCACTCCCGTAATTAGATTTTTCTGACTCCTCTACTTGTTTAATATACCACACAGATATATCTATTATTTCTTCATCATTTTCTAATTCTAATATCCTCTCTTTATAGTTAATATTTGCGTTCCATTTATCTAATAAGTCATTTCCTATAATTATTTCTTTTTGCCTTGAATCTATTACATCTAATGTTACTGGTATTATTAATTCTTTATAAATTTTTATTTTTGTATTTACCTTTCCTAATGAAGCAATCTTTCCTCCATTTGCTAATGTACATGTAATGTTACTTTTTCCTTTTATTGGTATATCTAACTCTTTTCTTAATTTCTCTGTTATTACACTTATTGCTGCTCCTAAATCTATTATTACTTCGATTTCCTTATTATTTATTGTAAACTGTGTTTTCATTACCGTTGTAACTTCCTTCTCTCCAGTTATCTCAGTCTTTTTAACCTCTGAACGTAGTCATTCTGTTTTATTCCCTTTCTTTAACATTCTCTTTATCATTTTTCCTTGTTGTTCCACAATATTAAGTAGATTTCTATAATCCACTGGGTCTTTTGACTTAATTCCTACAATATTATCTTTTCTTAGTCTACGTTTTTCTCCTGCTTCTTTCCATCTATTTATTCCTTCCATTGTGTCATAATATTCTCCTCTCTTTTTACTCCATTTATATCTTTTTGGAATATTCGTATTATCTGGTCCTATTGGTCTATTATACATTGGTTGTTCATCTTCCTCTTCCTCCATTGGAGTTTCTTCTCTATTCCTATATTTATAATCTTCTTTCCCTCTTTCCACAATATCTTTATCAAAATTCAGCTTTCCAAAATTTTTCCATCCTCGTACAGGATTTATTCTATTACTTCTTCTTCTTTCTTGTACTGGATTATCTTTCTCATATAGATCTCGTTCATAACTATATAATTGTGAATCATCATATTCCTCATATTCATAATTATAATCATCATCTGATTCTTCATATTCTTCATACTCATCATCTCCTCTATAATTTCCTGTGTCCATCAGATTAACTCTTCTTTCATTCCTTCTAATATTATTTCCTAATGGACATCTAGTTGCAAACTGACCTTTTCTATGACATCTAAAACAAGTTACTTCATCATAATTAATCGGTATTCTACTATTCCTTCCTTGATTCAATTGACTTCTGTTCCCACTTTTGTTATCTAACTTCCTTTCTATATTCTGTAGTTTTCCTAACATATAAATCTTCATTTTCTCTATGTCTTTTACTAAATCATCTTCATAATCTTTCTTCAATGGTTTATTAAACTTATTTTCTTGCTCATTCTTTCCATTATCATTTTGTCTAACATCTTGAGTATTATTATTCTGAACATTATTCTGATTTAACAAACTCTGATTCGATTCATCACACTTTATAATGCCATTTGATTTTCCATTTTTATAATTTTAGTCCTTTCAATAGCTGCATCTAATGTTACTGGTGCCGTTACCATTACTCTTGATATCATAGTTGGACTCAATCCTTAAATAAAATAATTAACTTTGTACATTTCCCTAAATCATTTACTCCTGGTGCCACTTTTCTTATTAATTTTCTGAATCTACTTGCATATGCTCCTACTTTCTCATTCATTTCTTGTTTAATCGTTTGTAACTCTCTAATCCATTGATTCTTTCTAACGTCACTTGCATAATGATCTTTTAATATTTTAGTAAAATTATTATTTCTATGGTTATGATTACAGACACGTACAATTTTATTACACAAATACGTAAAATTAAAAAATAAATATGTAAAAAAAAATTTTTTAAGAATATTCGTGTAATATAAAAAATTATAAAATAAAGTAAAAATCAGAAAGAGTGGATAGTTGGAGGTGAAAGGTGGGATAAATTAAAATTATTTTATTATTTTTTTTTTTTGTCAAAAAATAATATATATATCTGTAACTATGAACTTATTTAAATAAAAACTTTTTTACTTTTTTTTAAAAATAATTATATGATATTAGAAGTATATACTCAACAATAAAAATATAACACTTAAAAATTTTCAACTCCTTAAAAAAAATATAATTTAGAAAAAATAAACTGGTAACTTTATTCTTTAAGGTAAGCTCTATCAAATTACCAGTCAGATTTTTAAAAGAAAGTTTACGTAAAAAGTTATAAGTATTTAAAATTGCATATAGTGTTTCAACCCGTTCATCCTCAATCCGTATCCGTGGTCAGATATCTACCGTTTATGGTTATCCAGATGAAATTTTTGTAAATAGATCAGATGAAAAGGATTGAAGAATATCCGTAATAGATCATTCAGATCATTCAGATTATCCGTATTACTAATAGATCCTGACGGATTATAAAATTATCCATATCATCTGAGCTTTTAGTTCTGGACTCTAAAGACAATGAGTTCTTTTTTCTTTAGGTCCTTCAATTCCAGACTTTAGAGGTAACTGGTAGGGGACTTTTTTTTTTAATTCTATTTCTTTTTGTTTTGTTATTGTTTCATTTTCACTAATTTCGGTTTTCTTCTTCTTCAGTTTTGGGCTTTTTTTTTATTTTTATTTTCTTTTTTTCATTTTATCTTGTTTCCTTCTGCCAATTTCGTTCTTTTTCTTTAATTCTTCAGTTTCTAGACGTTGGAAACAACAGATGGGGGTTTTTTTAATTTTTATTCTTTTTTTTCTTGTTTTATTCTTCTAATTTCATTCATTTTCTTTAGGTTCGTCAGTTCCTGGACTTTGAAGACGGCAGGTGGATTGTATTTTTTTATTTTTATTTATTTTTTTTATTTATCTTATTTCCTTCTGCTAATTTCATTCTTTTTCTTTAAGTTCTTCTGTTTTGGACTTTGGAGACGACGGGTGGGCGTTTTTTTATCCTTATTTCTTTTTTTCGCTTGTTCTTGTTTCCTTCTGCTAATTTTGTTCTTTTATTTTATTTATTTTATTTGAATTAGCTAAACTAAAACTAAAAAATATAAGTTTATAATTATTTTACAATGTAATTATAAAAAATATATAAAAATGTTCTTTATTTACTTAATTGTTTTTTATCAAACTACAAAATTTATAAAAGTTATAGAATTTATATATAAAATATAATTTTTAAGAATCATATGCTTTATGAATACTATCTAAATGTTTGGCATTTCTTTTTAAAAATATTAATCTTTTGAATAATTTAGGATTAATTCTTGTTCTTTTTGCAGTTAATAAATTACCGGCGTTTGAAAACAATCGTTCACTAGCTGTTGAACATGCGTAAACTGATAAATATTTTTTTGCCAAATAACTTAAAATAGGAAATTTTTCTTGGTGTTCATACCACCAAATAAATGGATCACTTTCAAAATCAATTTGTTCCATTTGCAAATATTCAACAATTTCATTATGAGCTCGTAAAAGTAGTTTTTTTAAACCAGTTAGTATTGTAAGATTTTTCCCCCTTTTCTTTTTTAAACCTGCTAGACTTTTTGATGATTGAATAGTTGCTAATTGAAATGTAAAATTTTGTTGATGTTGAATGCTGCCAATTTCCAATTCCATATTATTATATTTTTCACGTAATAAATCTTTAGTATCATTAAAATCACTAGGTGTAATAACTGATAAATCTTTTATTCTTGGATCTAAAAGATTAGGGAGTAAAGTATCTGGCTTAGTAAGATCTTTCCAATAATAATCCATTAATATATAGAAGGCTGATTTGATTTTAGCTAACAAATTTCTTGTATTTATAGGAACTTTTAAGTTAAATTTTCGAGTAGTTGTTTGTTGTGATAATTGTTCCAATTCATTATCATCATTATTATCCGTAGCTTCATCAAATGCTAATTCTTCATTTTGAAAATTAATATCTAATAAATTGATTTTTATTTAATAAGAAAAAGATACAATAAAACATCTAATTACCATAATTTATATTATTAGGTGTAAATTTTTTTTTAATTCCAATTAAAATAGGAGTCATAATAGAAATAGTACAATAACTACTACCTTTCAAGAGTTCTGTGGCTTCTGAAAAAGTGCGTAAAATTGGTTTTAAATCCTTTAGTAAATCCCACTCTTCTGGACTTAGCATTATATTTTATAATCTTTTTTTGAATTTGAATCAGTCTTTGTGAACAATGAATTTAATACCATACTGATATATTTTTAAGCAATAGTAATCGATTCTATGCTAGATAAGAGGAATTTCAACAAGTAGGAGAATTAGCAATTAAATGCAAATATTTTGATATATTACTTGGTTTCTATTAAATATATTATATATTAATCAATTATTAAATAATCAAATTAAACAAAATTAATAAATTTTAAGTTAAATTAAATTAATATTACGATTTTCTCTTGTTCATTTTCTTCATTATCTTCTTCAGTATTTTGAAGAGTTATTTGTAATTCCAATTCATCTGCTAATTCTGGAAATCTACTTTGCACATCTTTAAAACGTTCACTTTGTTTAGGTCTCATGAAAAAGTTAATTAATTGTTTGGCTCTTGCAATTAATACTTCAGCTGGTTTCATTCCTTTACCCACAACTAGTTGTAAGGTATGTACTGTACATCCTAGCCAATTAACTCCTTCCATATCTTGCACACACTTTTTCATATTACTAGCATTATCTGTAGTAATAGTGAATATTTTATCACGAATGTCCCATTCATGTAATATATTTTTTAAAGTATCCTTTATATTTATTGCAGTATGAGGATATCATATATAGGCTATATCAAGAGTAAGTTCACATAATGTAAAAGATTGGTTAAGATATGAACATATTACACCAAGATATTCTTGGCGATTACGCGCAGTCTATAAATTCATAGTTAAGGAAATAAATGCAGCATTCATCAATAATAATTGTTTTAATTGAGAAAATGAATAATTAAATGCATCATAAATGATTTTCTTTACAGTTTCTTGTGAAGGCATTATGAATGCTGAATCAAGTTCATGAATAAAATGCCAAAATGTTTTACTTTGTACTGTAGATAAAGGTTGTGAATCCAAAACTACCCAATCCACCAAAAATTGCCTTAACTCTATTTGTCGTTGTTTACTGTGGTTTTTTCTTTTCATTGTTAGTACAATTCCTTTAGACAACTAGGTTTAAAATAAAAGTTGAAAAAAAAAATCGATTAAGAATAAATTATGCAATTTAATCAAGTAACACAAATATTATGTAATTATAATGCAGATTAATTATCTTTCCTTCATACTGACCTTTTCTTCTGTTTGTGTTATATCATACTTTAAACGTAAATGAGATATGGCATTACCAGTAAATGCATTCTTTTGAATATATTCCTTCCCACAAATAGCTGATGAAGGAGTTTCTTTAACTTGATATTGCATAACTAAATAAGTTTCTTTTTTTCTCTCTTCATCATCTTCATCTTCTTCATTTTCTAAATTATTTCCTTAGTTACCTCTTTAAAGTACTGCTATACCCAACTAGTTTGTCTTCTAGGTCTAATAATCTTATTTTTATCAACAGACATTTTTTAAATTTTAAAGAAATATATAAACAATTTCAATTTAATTGAAGATTATCGGTGCATCATTTTATACTAAAAAAAATTTTGTGCAACAACTGTATGTATTTTTATTTACATCATTTTTTATTACATTATTTTTATTTACGTCATTTTAATTATAATTTTTTTCAAGAAAAATTTTATTGAATAAATTCTATCAAGCCCAAATAGCAAAAAAACTGAGAATTTAAAGAAAAATTTGTCATTAATAAAAAGAAATGAAAAATAATATAATAGAAACAAAAAATACAAATAAAATAATTCTATATAGTTGAAAAACTGAAGGACCTAAAGAAAAAGAAAAAATTAGCAGAAAGAAACAAGATAAAATGAAAAAAGAAATAAAAATAGAAAAAAACAACTCACCCATCGTCTTCAAAGTCCAGGAACTGAAGAACCTAAAGAAAAGAATGAAATTAAAAGAAGAAAACAAGACAAACTGAAAAGAAATAAAAATAAAAAAAAACATCTACCTGTCATCTTTAAGTCCATAATCGAAGAACCTAAAGAAATAGAATGAAATTAATAGAAGGAAATAAGACAAACGAAAAAAGAAATAAAAATAAAAAAAAATAATCCACCTGTTGTCTCTAAAGTCCAGAAACTGAAGAACCTAAAGAAAAGAATGAAAATAGAAGAAATAAGACAAACCGAAAAAGAAATAAAAATAAAAAAAACACCCGTTGTTTCCAAAGTCCAGAATCGAAAAACCTAAAGAAAGAAAATGAAATTAGCAGAAAGAAATAAGACAATAAAAAAAAGAAATAAAAATAGAAAAAAACTCACACGTTGTCTTCAAAGTCCAGGAACTAAGGAACCTAAAGAAAAGAACGAAATTAAAAGAATAAAACAAGATAAAACGAAAAAAAGGAATAAAAATTAAAAAAAAACCTGAAGAATCTAAAGAAAATGAATGAAATTAACAGAAGGAAATAAGAACAAAATACAAAAAAGAAATAAAAATAAAAAAAACCCCACCCTTCATCTTCAAAGTTCAGAACTGAAGGATTTAAAGAAAAGAACGAAATTAGAAGAATAAACACTGAATAAACTAACAAAACTAAAGAAAAAGATATAAAGAAAAAAGCCTACCCAGAATCGAAGGACTTAAAGAAGAAGAAAACTGAAATTACAGGAGGGATAAAAATGAAACAAAACAAAACAAAAAAAAAAAACTTGCAGATATCCGGATGATCTGTTAGGATATCTGGATGATTTTCAATCCGTCATTCAAGATATTCAGATTGCATTTCTATTAAACGGATTGGATTATCAGATGATGGATTTTAAATGGATCAGATTGTCAGATAGCAGATTATCCGCAGGTTGAAACACTAATTACACATATGGGCTGATTTGTCTATCTTTAATTAAAATATTGATTTTGTTACATTTTTATTACACAAAATACTATATAATATATAGTAAATTGGGGATGAGTATTAAAAAATATTTATTTAATGTTATTATCATATCGGCGGATTTGTTTACTTTTGCATAATGCTAAATTTTGAATGATTTTCATAATATCTGTCACCTAAAACCGGTTTGTAATGTCATGAAATCACTTGATTGAATATCACTTGACTAAATAATAAGTCGAGTGAAAATTTACATTTGCAAAACTTAAATTATTTAATGTAAAATAGATACAAAAAAACCCATTTCGTTAACAAAAAATCCATTTCTCACCTGCATAGTATTTTTAATGTGTATTATTAGAAAGTAAGTATGTTTTAATAAAACAAAAAGTAAAATAAAAATTTATATAGATACAATAGCTATGAATATTTATAAAAGTATTCTAAGACCTGTCTCTTATACACATCTAGATGTGTATAAGAGACAGAAATTGTCCATTTTTTGCATTTTTCAAAACATATTATTAATTCTTATTTATCTTGCTGTAGACAAAATAGGAACTTTTATATTCAAACAAATTGTAAGCATATGTATTATTGATTTTTACACAAAAAAGATTTAGAAGCTATTGTATAAAGTGAGATTCCACAACAGATATTATCAGTATTGCTAAGAATAATATTTATTGTATTTTGGCTTAAAAGAACTATTTATCAAATTTATCAAATTATTGTATTAATAAAACCAAATAAAATTTTTTTAATGTTCGTCCCAGGTCCTACTGTGCCATATGTAATAATTTGTGTAACAAAAGTACCTTAAATAAACATGTTAATTAGAGGGTAAACAAATCCGCCGATATGTACTATAATTTGGTAAATATTTCTTTTAAATTAATATAATTCTTAGCACTTACTATATATGTTAAAAATTTGTATCTCAACTTCAAACGTAAATATCTCCAGATCCAATGATCCAATCAGCAAGCTTTTTTTTCGTTCATATAGACCAGATCAAGGGCTTTCCAAAGAGCCTAAATTTATAAAGAATGAATCAGTGGATTCCAAGATATTTGCATTTAAGCATGTTAAAAAATTCGTACTTTAACTTTAAATGTAAATATCTTTGAATCTAATGATTCAATTGGCGAGCTCTTTTTTTGCCTATAAAGTCCAGAACAAGGGCTTTCCAACAAGCCTAAAATTATAAAAATGGATCAGTGGATCTTAATATATTTGCGTTTAAAGTTGATAATACAAACTCTGACATAAAATAATTATTTTTATGGTTTGAAAATATCTATTATGATACTATCCTTTATATAATATTTTTATTATATTTTTATAAACATTTATAGCTACTAAGACTATATAAATTTTTATTTTACTTTATATTTTATTAAAATATACTTACTTTTTAAAAATATATGTTAAAAATTCCATATATATGAGAAATGGGTTTTTTATTAGTGACATGGGTTTTTTTACAGCTCTTTTACATTTAATAATTTAAGTTTCGCAAATGTAAATTTTTGTTCAACTTATTATTTAGTCAAGTGATCATCAATCAGATGATTTTTTGGTATTACAAAACAATTTTAAGTAATAAAAATTGTGAAAATCAATTCAATAACTCTTTTAATATGGAGTAAACAAATCAGCCCATATGATGATTTTTATATGATCGGCCCAAATTTGAAATAAAATATATTGGCCAGAACTTATGATAATTTGGGCTGACTCCATGCATTATAATAATACCAGCTTGAATTATCATAATATAAATCAAATGTAATTTTTAAATTTTTTATCAATGTATAACTTTTATGAAATGGTAGTTGCGATTTATTGCTAAAATCTACTTTTTCTTATGTTTTAATAAAAAATTTTCAAAAACTGCATTTTATTAGTACTTTACACAAGAAATCCTGGTGTTTTATTGGCTGAATTCCAGATCACATGATTAAGGTTGCTGAAGAACCTAGGGGGTTTTGGCAAGTTGGCAAAATGCCGAAATAGTAAAATTTTGCCAAAACTATATGAAAGTCTTATTAAAAAGTTGGCAAAACTCTGGAGAAAAGTAAAACTTGACAAAACCTATTATAAATGCTGAAACTGCCAAAACCTTGCCGAAATTATAATAAAACTATAGTAAAATTTTGGAGAAACTAATCGTAAAA